ACACATTCGTCTCAGCTCTGTTGACATATCACCATCATCATTTTCATTATTATATTATTACTACATTATCATTATTAGTGCTGCTGATGTTTTTTCTTATTAAAGAAGCACCTATCCAACCAATATTTTATACTGGCGGATCCAGATTCCATGGGCAGGGTGTACAGGGTAACATCGGTGTGGCGGGCACTAGGTATTATACTAAATATCTATCTACTGGTATATATGCATGCAGTCAAGCTTGAAGCTCGTAAGTCCGCCACCCTTCCAAATACACACACAAACACACACACACACGCACACACACACACACACACACACACACATTTAAAACCAGTCCAATTAATAAAAAAGGAAGAAACAGTAAATCAGCATTTGAAATCGTTTATTTCTTCTGATTGCACAGACAAAATGAATTTCCATTATCTAAATTTAGAGAAGTACAGGTACCAAATGCCAGTGCCATAAGGACAGATTTAGCGACAATTATCATTACAAATTGTATTCATAAAATAAGGTGTTTGCCATATTAAAAATGGTACTTTTTTCTGTATTTTTTTTTCTTAATTAAGTAGTATCTATTTATAAACACAATTATTATTTAAGAACAATTATGCTTCTTTCATGTCCATTTTTTAATCAAATTGGATGTTGCAATATTTTATTTTTCGGAACTATCCAAAAGAGCATTGCTAACAAAATCATTGACAGAGAAGTCGTTCTGGCTGAAATCAAGAGATTCAAATCAAGATATTCAATTGAAGAGTTGCAAACAGTGGAGGAAGATAAACTTTACAAACTTGCAAGACGCAGACTTAAGCTGGTTTTTTCCCATGGTATCACTCTCTTTCTGGCATAAAAGGTGCTAATCATGTGGGATCTATAGGTTTTATACCTAAAAACACACTTCTCAGACCTGTAGTAGATGCGACCGCCGGAGACATGCTTTACACGAACCCACGATGCCATGGCGTTTATCTTAGTCATGTTGACACTGTTGCCAATAGCAACGATACAAATTGTTACCCCTAAAATAGAAAAACAGTAGCTTACCGTATATACAGTAATTAGAAGGAAAAAATGGAAAAGAACACATTTTAGAAATTCAATGAAACAAAAAAGAGTTTGATTTCGTCAATAGGTAAGGAAAATATAAACTAAGGTTTACTGTAGCCAATATTTCGTCCGCTGATCATTAGACTTTATGCTGACTGTCAACATACGGAATGCTGACTGATAAATATCGCCGAATTATTTTCTATACTGGTAGCTATTGACAAAAAAATCCTTAAATAATATAGCTAATGGAACTATCTAACGTGAATGAAGCCCTGTTGTCTAAACCAAAAACTTATGTTAAACAATTTTGTTCATTTGCGGTAATCTGGCTTTGATGTAGCGGAAGTACATACCTTTCCTCTTCATGGAATTTGCCAGGGCCACCGGATCACCCAATCTATTGTGTTTGCCATCAGTGGTCATCCAGACTAGGCGTTTGCCAGAGGAGCCAAGCCGAGAATTACATATCGCCAAAGCATGGTATATATGCGTCATACCACCTGTGAATACACATGATATACAAATAATATAAACCCATACAGTTGTGCCTTTCTTATGAACGTGTTAATTTTGTTTATTTTATCAAATACTTACCGAAACCGTCTAAAAAAACTCATTTATAAACATTTATAAACGAAATTATTCGAGACGGCTTCGGCAAGTATAGGATCACATATCGTGACCGAGTAGGTCATCAACATAAAAAAACATGGTGATGTAAATACTCTGGGGGTTGATGCAGCAATTCGATGTCGAAATATGTGAAACAGCGTTTGTACCTGCGTGTGCGTATGTGTGTGTGTGTGTGTGTGTGTGTTTATGTATGTATGTGCATATGCTTGTATGTACGTACAGTTGGGCATTTGTGTGTAAGTTCAATTTGTTGTTCATATTTAGAGCTTCTTGTATAGTAATATTAACAATTCATCGACCTTACCTTTTTTATACAACGCGGCAATAGCGGCATCATTCTGTGTGAAGAACGGGTAAGTCCCAAGGCCATAGATAAGCTGTGCCCAGGTAGAGAAGCGTACCAGAGCAATCCTATGTTTTCCAGGGGCTATACTATTCGGGCCAGGAGTATTGTTGATGATGGCAAGAATGTCCTGAAACAATATTCCTTTGGATTAAAATAAATAGGTGTTACAATTACACATGCGTGTTACAACAAAGGACTGATTCCCAATGAAACTACCGATCAAACTCCGCGGTAACTCTCGCTGAATGCAATCAGATTACAAAGATTACCACGCCTCCTCGTTTCCAAAGTAATCCTATGATCACGAACTTTTCTGTATTATACTCAGTGCCAAGAACTGGTATGTTATACTGTTTATCTGTTTGTATTCAGCTAGAGTCCGAACGGTGTTAGATCGCTCTACGTAGAATGAGTAGAATTAGGCCTTTAATAAAAAAAGATAAATGGTGTTTGTAAATTTGGTTGTATACATGTAACCTTAACACTGTTACACTGTCAGTTTTACATTGGAATGCTTTGATTTCTTTATTATTTTTCAGACACGAAGTCCTGCGAAGTTATCAAATATTAATCGAATAATTATTTTCTGTTATTTTGCCTAAATTCATTTCTGCTAATTAATATTCATAATTAGTATTGAAAGAAAATAATCGCAAAGAAAATGTGTAATGCCAAGTGGCCACGTATCTCACCCTGGTCGCCCATTTGGACATTTTCCACTCATTGTTGTCAATGCTGCCACTGCTGTCCATAGCAAAACACACTTTCCAGTAGGTAGGAGCACCGCCCATCAGAGTTGTGATGATCTGGTCTGGTGTGAGAGCCTCAGTGCCCAGACCATTAATATTGAAGGCCATTCCAACAGCAACCAACAGCAACAGCGCGGCTAACTTCATGACGACAGGAACTTGGTCAACGTGCAGATGAGAGAAATGTGGCTTCCTCGGTTGCTTTTATAGAGACGGGCGTCCATGCAAACAGATATTTATACAAATTGCTAATTTATACCGACTCACACGGTCTGCATTTATTACAATTCATTTCCTTGTATGAACCAATCGTTTTGTTAGGCCCTGGAAGTTAATTACATAACTGACTTTTTTGCCAAAGGGCTGGAATCTTAGACTATTGTAATGCTGGTAGCATACGATGTTGTAAAAGATGTACCACACAATCATTAGGTATTCCTTAAATCCATTGCTCCTGTTGACTTAGATTAATGAAAAGTGTGTGGGTTTTAACTTTTAAGTAAATACTTTACTTAAAATAAATACATAAATAGACTATTAACTGGTGTGTGAAACGCGAACTGTCGTTCTATATTGTAATGCCATTTTTACAAACGTTTATCTTTTGTAAGAAGTTTGAATCTAGATGGCGCCATAGGTCGATGCAATGATGAACTTTGTAGTAAACACACAGTTAAGCACATGTTGATGTTACAGTGTCCTGAATTAAACATTAACATTTATCAGGAAATAGATGGTTTTATTTGAATATAGGGTAATAAATTTGTTTGTCAATTGCGAGTCTTAACGAGAACTCAGGAATACATGTATTATTCATAGTGATCTATAAATATTAATGACTCGTTCTTTCTTAAGAAGATGAAATATTTTATTTCAGTGAAAATTCATGGCTGTATGAAAATTCTAAACGCACATGCTACATGTTGGTTGGATTGCAAAATCAATTGAGAACATTTGTTCTAGGTTCCCGCTAACTGCTTTTAATAATGTGACAACGTATGTAGAATAAAGCGATCTGGTATGGGGTATTACAATATGTAGGCTTACGGTTTTATTTTGACAATGTTTGGATGTAATAATATCATACGCCCCCCCCCCCATACACATACACACACACACACACACACACACACACATCAAACCAAACCCATAGAATATGTGCTTCATCTCACAGCACAACCCGAGACCTTGAGATCCGGACAGCTTTCATCTCACAGTGCTTGGTGCAAGTTGGATCCCTTTTTCTGAGAATCATTAAATAGAGATGCATTAATGTTTTATATTTTAAAGTCAATTGGCTACGATTCCATTAATCGCACATTAAAAGGGTTTTAGCAGGTTTAACTGAATAAAAGCTAGACAGTCATGAAGTGTGAGTACCATTTTGTTAGGTGGCAATTAATTAAATTAAAAAGAAAATACAACCAGCAGTACCATCGCAGCTATCTTCATCTTTAGTGACGACAGGAGCTTGCACTTGGTCCACGTGCAGAATTTAGAGAGTAGTTATATTGGTTGTTTTATAGAGAGACAGGCATCCAAACATGTATTTATGCAAAACATTAATCAATCACAAACATTCTATGAATAAATATTTATTTCCGTGTAAAGGCCAATCGTTTTTTAGTAGGCTCTGGATGTTATTTTCATACAAAAATCTTTCTTGGAAAAAGTACTTGCATCTAGGCTACCGTAATGTTCACAACAACCTTGAACCACATAGTATACAACGCTCCAGGTTAACACCTTTTAACGTGACAAATAGGGCGTGGACATATACTCAGCTTTGAATGACAAGAATGCGTTTCACAAAGTATAACCAGAATATTTTTACAATGCTGACAAAAAAGAAACTTGAAATGTATGGTATGGAAGTTTTCATAGTTTATTGGTAGATTCCATCAATTAGCAATAACGCGTTGCAATGTAGGCCTATCTTTTCAACGTCCCCTTACCGAACATAAAAACCAACCTTCTTTATATCGTTAAAACCTGAGACCGCAGATTGGCTTAGATAGGTATATTTCCATTGGCGACAAATGTTTAGTTTCAAAAATATACAAAATGAACATCAGAATGACTAGTGGTGAATTCAACATTATTTGATATCATGCATAACAGGAATCACTCTCAGTTTGGAAGAGGTGGATTCTGATATATATATATATATATATATATATATATATATATATATATATATACATATACCGATGTTTAAAAAAATGGATGATCACATCATTCTGATCGATCGTTGTTAAAGCAGGCCTTTTACAGGAGTTCATGCCACAAAACCATTTCAGCACTGACATCAAAATGTAGGCTATCTGCCGTCCTTCAAATAAACCTTGACCTTGACCGAGGCGTCACCATGGAGCGCACGTGACCCTCGCAGGGCCCCTTGGCACATAAAGCAATCATTGTTTGTTTATCGTTATATACCCTTGTTTACACGGCAACTAAGAGATGTGTGTATAACTTTTCATTGGATGAAGACAGCAGTCTGTAGGGTAAGGATGAGACGCCATCTTTTGCCTGGCGTTTCTTTGAGCCTTGCAGAAGTGCCATTCTGAAAGACAATAAGTACATTTGTATATGGATCATTGTACATAAATGGGAACCACCAAATAGTTGTAAATACGACATTAATGATGATGACATGCTGGACAAATAACAATGTCGAACTCGGACAGGAGACAACCTATCTAGGTCACAGACTAGTACAGCTACTGGACTCAAATGGTTGATATGAATTATAATTCGCATATAGCTTTTGCTTTGATGAAATTTCTCCCTCATGAGGTGTGAAGTAGCGCTTAAGAGTTAAATGAAACAAGATTTCTCAGGATTTGGAGGACAGAGGAGGCAGAAACAATGGCAGACCCGCGCCTGCGGTGAAGCAATTTGTTTTAATTACTGCACGAGTTCTGGCATAAAGGAGACAAAATTTTATCGTTGTTTTCGCATAAGTTTTGAAGAATTGTGGCGTTTTGCACAACAATGTGCATTCGCCATTGTTTGTTAGTTACTAATGGACTGCTTTCTAAAACGACATTTCGAACACATAGAATCACATTGTACACCACCTTGAGTGATTTCCTTAAAGAAGATTTAATCAATGGCTGAAATCAGGGTTCTATTATTAAGCACGCAAAGTGCGTTCAACTTAGTTCATTGAACGAATTCAATTTGACCCGTAGTGGGGGCGTGATCGCTATAAATGTGACCATTGGCTTTAATAATTTATTTATTATTGCTATTATTATTATTTTTGCCTACCTTCTAGGATTTTTATCCCTGTCCCCGTGTATTAAGGACGTGTAACGACCTATCTCCGGTGGAACTCGCTCAAAATCCATGGCTGAGGCTTTCATCCTTGGGGTTAAAATAAATTATGTTAGTTTTAACGTAACTGCATTGCAGAGGTAAAGCTTCTAGCGGTGGGCCTATGCAAGAAGGATAATTTTGAATATAAAGATGGTACAGAAATAAATTGGTTTCTATGATGCTCCTTCGATATACATAATGTAGCAGAACGGAAATATCTCAGATTTAAACCTATTGATATCTGTCTCTCAACCTCTCTCACTCTTCCTCTCTCTCACCTGTATGCCATGTCGTCGTCCTCTCCGCCCCATCCCCAGAACTCGTTCGAGTAACCGTTTAGCTTCAGGAAATCCTCACGAGGAAAATTCATAACTCCACCCACCAGAATAGTGTACCGCGTTCTGAAATAAATAAATAAATAAATAAATAAATAAATAAATAATGGGAGCGCATCATTTACAAGCACATCATTTAGCGTTCAAGATCTAACGAAATGTATAATGCAAAATAGCAGAAATAACTTAATATGGATACATCGTCGTTACGTTTAAACTCTAAAACTTAATAATATATTATTATAAACATCCTTATGAAATACATGTTCAGCATCGTGAGCTAACCTGTAATTATCCTGGCTTGGCGCCGACGACATGTGAACTGGTAAAGAAAAACATTTGTACGTGTTGCGATCGTCCTCCGGCACTAGATCCACGTCATGGAAGATGACGCACTGGAAGTCGAACAATTTGGCA